GCACCGGATTTTTACCAAAACCTAATCAAATCTGCGCATTGGCCCAGAGCATCTATGCAACCAAGTTTCATCAAAAACCGATGTATGGTTCTTGAGATAGCAGTGGAACAGTCAGACACACATACACATACACACACATACAGACACACTAACTGCAAAGACTCCCATTTTGTGCTTCAGACATGGGAGTCAAAAATGAGGATTGCATCCAACAGGTTTATATAGGCCTTTAAGCTACATCTCTACAATCAACCTATAAAGGGCTATCAGGGACTATAAATATATTTTTGGTCCAGCCACTGTAATTACAGGCATGAACATTATAATGGTTTACAAATATGAACAGCCCCCCAAATAGAATTTAAAGGACATCTCTCTAAATCTATGTTGGTATCAGTAGCATTATGAGTGAAACCATTCCTATTTAATTTGTTGATGCAACTTACAGGCTGCACAGCCAGCTCACACATGGAAAAGGAAGTGAAAACTTTTTTTGAAACACCTGATTAATAATGTATTGTCTATGTTTGTTGTAGTAGTGTTCATGAATTTGTATTTTCCCTATGCAATTTTGGTTATAATTTTGGTCTGAAAGCAAAATGAAATATCATCTTATTACATCCAAGAATACCGTGCCCTAATAATATTAAATGAAGAGACTGGGAAAAACAACACAATGCTGATAGATGAAAGAGCTCCAGAAATGTAGTAGAATGCAATTTACAGCTGTTTTTATATGCATAAGATAAAGATAATGGTTGTCTCTTACCTGTAACTGTATGTTCTGTGTGTCCTGTATGTTTTCCAGAATACAATCCACATTTATATTCAAAGTCAAACCAGCTGTAAATTTCATATGGTTATCAGACTCCCCACTTGGCTCTGTTATTATAGCTTTAGCCCTTCTAAGTTGGTTGGAAAGTGTCAAAGCAGGAACTGAATGGTGCATCAACAATGGCTGTAAAAATTTCATGATGATGCCAGGCTTACTAGATTCTAATTTATGCATTTCAGAGAACACTGATTGGGTGAAGTTATCTGCAGTGATCTCACTCATTGATAAGTACCTGAAATTAATCACAAAAAAATGGGTATCACAAAGGGGTAAAAACTCAACTCAAAAATGTAAGACACAAAGGGGGCACCGAAATAAACTGATCATGCAAATCTTCCTATCAGTTTTCCTTGGAATATTGCAATATCCATTGAAACATTTTTAGCAGTGTTTGTTTTGACAATCCTGACATATTGTGGTTGTAAATATGGCTGGATATCATGAGATGTTGATTATTGCATAAAATATTTAAATTGTGAAATTTTTAATCCAATGAGCATACTACACTTGAACACAATAAATTATTATTTGATTACAAGCATACAATTTAATTTCAACTCCCTCAAATATAGTGGGATATTTGATATGCAAATTTCCAACTGTTGAATGAAAAGTCATAACAAACACTGTTAGGAATCTTCCAAAGAATATTGAAATCTTCCAAGGAAACTTGATGGATAGCAGTTTTCACGAACGATTTATTCTGACAGCCGTTGTAAAAACTTTTCTTTTGTGGCAGGTGACAGTTTTTTATTGTAAGCTTAACTGTGAACTGTACAACCAATACATTTTGCCACAAGAACAATATCTATGTTTGCTAGGGCAGTGTGGCATATGTTTGAAACCACATGGCAGGGATGTGAGGACATTTCTCAATTGAAAATACCTTATTTTGGTATTAAATGCAAGCATATGCTGATGTTATCGAAGGCACATCCATATAAGTGAATGAATGTAACCTTTGAACTCATTCAGTCTGGCACAATCACACGGGCGTTTATTAGTATGCCATTATGTAAATTACAGAGATTTTTCAGTAATAATTTAATGACTTAGTATACAATGAGAATTTTGGGTTATTATACACTACTATTGGAGAAACACTTTTAATTGTAAAAATAAGGTATGTAGGGTTTGAACTAGAAATCTATTGATTTAATACGTTACCAGTGATTTTCTGATGTGACAAATTGGAAAATTAAAAAATATAATTAAATGTCATCTTACCTTTGTAAATGATTCAATTTATTTAAATATATTTGACATAATTGTAATGACTGTATATCTGCTTTATTTCTGTCCATTCTATGACCTCGTAGTTCTAAAATAAGTTTGACTGTCATGGCTCGTGTTCTTAACTGTCGTATTGCGGCTGTATCATGTCCACTTAAACCAAGAAATAAATGCTCCATTCTGTATGTTGATTCAATAACCTGGTAAGATGAATATTACTATGTGAACTCTCTTATTATTGTTTATCAATGAACACTGACACTTGGCAAACTGTAATACTCGAGTACATGTACTTTGACAGAAGGGGAAATAACTAAATCATGTAAATGACTT